TTAAGGAAGCTATGGAAGTGATTGAATAATCTCTAAAAATTAATCCAAATCATTTTGATTCATTAAGGATAAAAGGTGATACTATGATATAATTAATAGGTGAATGCTTACATGAACAGAAATAATATTAATAGGCTTTAATATTTTATGATAAAGCTTTAGAAATTAATTCGAATCATTAATGGACTTAAAATAAAAAAAGTATTGTATTTCTTAAACTTAGATGAATGTTTAAAAGCCATTTAAAACAAATGATTAATATCATAAATACAAATTAAATACAATATTATAATTCATTTTAAGTATTAATGTATTTTATTTTCTACTTTTTTAATTTATTTCTATAAATCTGTAGATGACATCGAAATTAATATAATTTAATTTATTCAATTACTATCATCGAGAAAAAAAATTACAATATATTTATAGATCTTCGAAATTGAAATATAATAATAATGCTTATATTTCTACAAAATCGATAACTTCTTCAATATAACCATACACAATATTAAGAATATTATATTCTGTTGCTCCTTCGATTTATGTGTATTCTATTATGTGATATTTTTAATTATTAATATTACAAACTTCTTTTCATATATCTAAACAATATCAATTTTATTTATTAATTTCATATTTATCCAACATAGACAGAACTTAATTAAAAATAAGATGTATTAAAATATAAATTTGATATTATCTTTTAAACTAATGTATTTTTAAACTCCTAATTGCATTTCCAAAATTGAAAATTAAGCCTGATTAAAATCTTCAGTATATACTTTTAATAAATTATATTTTTGTCTCAATCAATCATTTGATATGAAATTAAAAAGAAAGTGTTTCAAATATTAATTCAAGGAAATTGGAATTAGATTAAGTCAATTTTTTGTTCTCTACTAAAATTTAATAAATAACTTGAGGAGAATTATTGAACAAACGTTTTGATAGGTTACCAGAGATCATTTTAATTTAAGAGCGATTCTCTGTACACTTAGATAATTATAGTTTCTATTATAAGGTCCTTTTGAAATGAAAGAATAAAATTTTTTGACTGTTAAATTTCTCACCATTGAAAAATTATCTTAAATCAGTAGTTAATAAATCGTTTTTTAAACTTTCTTTCAATATATATGTTGGCGAATTACTTTGTTCGAAAACTGGTTGAGAAAAAATCTTCAATCTCTGGATTTCTCTAGTAGTTTTTTGAGTTTTTAAATCACTACAATTATTTTTATTTATTTTAATTCATTGCTTGTGTCGGCTTCTGGATCAGGAAAGATTCAATTCAGAATGCACCAGGCCTTATCGATATCACTGTCTGAATTATGATTTTTAAACTATAATTATAAATTGAAAATTCTAATGCTATTTTTTATATAATACAGATTGTTTTCTTAACCCTCCATGATTGACATCTAGAAGCATAAGAATAAGATTTTCAGTTAACAAAAGATACTGGTGAATGAAAACTTACAATATATCCCAATTTACTTTAGCTATAAGTACAAAATAATCGATTAGAAAAGAAGATTGATAAGCCATTAAATTAATTGAGCAAGTAGAATGGCTTTATTAAAATGTTCTATTTTAACTTAACAGGATAAAATCACTTAATAATATAACTATAAGTTGAAACTAAGCATGTGATCCTGTCACCTGAAAATTTAACATATGATTGATAAAAGTATTCAATTTTTTCTGGTCACTTAAATGAACTTCAATTTTAAATATTTGAAAATTATAATTTAAAATCAAATCGAAATAATATTTCAATTTTTAGAATGGAGTAAATGAGCTATATATAAGCTAAACTAGTAATTGCTAATAAAATAACCTTAAAACTGCTTAAAACATGATTAAGGGGTATAAGGTACTATGTGCCTTTTCTACATTTAATGCCATTCAGAACCTTGAGTAATAAGTGCTGAAAAGATTTCAATGATTAAATTAAATGGGAATCACAATTTTATTTGAACTTGACCCTGATTGTATTGCAATTCCTACTTATATCAAATCATTTCAAAAGTTAAATCTCAAGTAAAATTTTTGAATATATTGTTTTTCACATACTCCTTTGATAATGTGATGATCACTTTTCATTATGCAATTAATAGTTATAAAGGGCATTTTAATAACAAGAAAGATCTATTTTATCTATTTTTAACTAATGAACAATAGGTATGATATTCAAATTATTCCAATTACATTTTTTCAAGTATAAATAAACCTTTCAAGAATAAATCAGCAATTTCATTTTGCAAAATTAACGTTCTTGCATTTAATTGTTAGAGTTTTGAATTCACAAATAAAACTAGTTTGGATAAGAAACAAAAAAGTAAACTCAAATAAATTTTTTGTCTCAACTTTGTTAATTCTTTTTTTTTCCCAATTTTCAAATTATTTGTTTTTCTGTTTCCAATCTTCCAAAACCCAATGACAAAGACTTGTTAAACTTTATATTCATTATGTAGAACTTAAATTCTCATTATCTATTTCTTTATGAAAAACAATAGGTTTTCATGCTAAATCTATTAGAGTTTTGGGCATTCAAAATTTAATAAGCACTGATGAATCTTACTCTCCAATCATTTTAGTTTCTTATGTGTCTTAACCTCGAAACTTCATGTTTTAGTTGCTCGGTAAATAATTATATATAATGAACCTAAAATATTAGACATTTTTTGTTCATTATACAATTGATAATTTACTTGTGTACGTGTATCAAAATAGTTTTCACTAATGTAGAGCATCATTAAAAACGTTTAGAGAATTTTGTGAATGAAGCTTTTTAAGAAAAGATAATTAAAAAAAAAAAACCAATTTTGTTATTCTAAGGGCAATCTTGGAAAACATTGTCCCTATTTTAGTTCTCCATAACCCTTTGAGGATGGAAATTGGCAGAGAAACCGACTGGAGAGGTTAGGATAACCAGAAAGTTTGGAACAAAGGCAAGAAGAAGAGTGTTAGATTCAAAATATTCTTAAATAGCCTGAAGACCTAGCTGAGACCAGAATCTTGGGGATGTTGAATTGTTAACTTGTAATTGGAACTTGTAAAACCAAAGGATTTTTAAAATGAGAAAAGTATTTTAAAAGTTAAGGCCCATATATAGTTGATTTAGGAAGGGAATAGGGAAATGAGAGATGATAGCTGTGAGCTTGGATTTATATGTTTTTGCAAGGAGAGAAATGAAAAATAATTGAGATTTGATGTAATTAGATAGATTAGGTGAGTCAGGAGAGAGAATATGAATTCTGAGAATTACATTGTAACAGAAGTAGTCATCTAGAACTTATCAATTATGTTTGGGGTATTCATCAATGTATGAACAAAAATGATAATTATGATTTTTTGGAAAACTTGAAGTTACAACCCAGTAAAGTTGGAGCTAACCTGAACATGAAATTGAGAAGAGAAATGAATCTTTATGATGAGATTATAGATCGAGTCACTCGTAATGGGATTAAAATGGAATTTTAAAATAAAAATTGAAATGCAGTAAAAATAATATTAATAATATATTTATATACAGAGGTATCAGAGATAATTTTAGAAGCTATGAAAATAGTGGTGGAGAGAAAGGAAAAATGATTGAATTCAGAGCACCTAGATATTGGAAAGCGGCTGAATAATTTGAAAGAAGATCTACCAAATGGAAAGTACTTCGAAGAAAGAGACTATAAATTTATATAACATGCTTGGAATATTAAAGAGAAAAAGAGGGAAGCTTTATGAATACAATAAAGATTGATGATAACTAATACTAGGCAAATTACAAAGAAATAATCCATAGATGTATTTAAAAGATCATTGAAATACAATAAGAATTTAGTGAGGAGAAAGTTTCGAAAGGACTTTAAAGAAGTCAAAATGAGGGAAAAGGATATCTATGATTAAAAAATGAAAGATTCACCGACAATTAGAATAGAGGAGAGTGTTAGAATGTGATGAGAAGGTGTAGAGATTCAATAAGGAGATCATATATGACTTTTATCACCTGATCTCTTTTATTGTAGTAAGAGATTGGGAAAAATGGAAAGCGGAGTTGCTGTTATTTAATCTTGAGGAACTATGTAACCTTAGTGGATACATAATGGAAGCGTCTGAGATTTGTACAATCGAGGACCTGAGACCATTAATGGTGTAATGTCATCGGGCGAAATTTATTGAAATGGATCTTAGCAGATCGACTCAAGGAAATGGTTATAACTTTAATAGACTAAGATTTAGGAGGTTTTGTTTTATAATTTTGGGATGTAAGTCCAAATTGAAAAAAATTATTAAGAGATTAAAAACAAAATAGCGCAATGAAAGCGTATGTTTTGATATGTCTAATGCTTATAATTAGGTGATTAGAAGGAAATTATGAGAGAGAGAGACACTGTTTAAATGATATAAGGACTCTTTGGATTTTATATTATTTGATAACTTGATTGTTGTTAGGGAAGAGAGAAATTTATTTAAAGAATGGAGTGCATCAAGGATCGGTTATGAGTCCCTAGTTATTTGACATATCCATTATGACAAGTTCATTAAGTAGTTTAAAAGAAGAGTGGAAAAAGATAGAAAGGCAACTCAAACAAAAAAACAGATTATAGGTTGCTTGGGTGATGGAAAATGCTTGATAAGCTGATGATGTAGCCATAGGTGCAAAAGAAGAAGTGATGTCGAGGAATTTGTTAATATTCAGAGAAGTTGAGAAGGAATTCAATTTGATTGGGAATGAAAAGACAACTGTCTCGAAGGCCAACAAAACAATCCAAAAGATGGAATATATGAATTATAAAAAGTGGATTCTTTTTTGATATTTAAGTGTAAAATGAATATTAGGATCAATATCAAATATTAATTTAAAGAGAGAAAGAAACTAGAGATGATGAAAGCTTGATGGTATTGATTTGAGGACAGTTTAGCCATCTAGATTTTTGAGATAAATGTTGAAATTATATAGACTTTCGATAATCAGATTCTTAGGAATTGCTAAACGGAATTAATGCAAAAGTTCCGTAACACAATGGGAGGTAAAGGAAAACATTTAGGAAAGCGATTGGATTATCGAAAAGGTTTCCCAAAAGAGGTTACCTCAAAATTATTGGATGGTTGGAAAATGAAACTTTGGAAGGATGATATATCTTAAAATATTGATGAAAGATACTTGAAATACGGTGTTTTAGAAGAAATTAGAGTAGGTAAAAACAAGAGAATATTATTTTAATAGAGAAGAGAATTTGAAGATATGAAAGTGAGTAAGAAGTAAAGGGAAGATATCTGATAATAGGAGAAATTTTATGGAGAAAAGATTTAGTAGATGTTAGCAAATAAAAATGTATAAACTATTTAATGATGATTAATACAATGCAAATTTATAAAATAAAATGTTAGAAAAGAGAATTTTTCAAATGGATAGAAGTTATGCTAAACAAATGGACATCTCAAAAAACACCTTTTGGGTGCTTAAGAACCTCCTGGGAACTTTGAAAGAAATAATGAATATGTAATTGGAGAGAATAAATTTTAAGGCAAAGTCTAAAGAAGCCTTTAGGAATATATAAACGATATTGGCAAGTAAATCCAGAAAGAAACCTTTTACATTCTGAGAAGTACCAACTAAAAAATTAGAATTCGATATATAATAATAATAATTTAAAACAATTAATAGTTGTGTATCATGCTTTTTATCCATCTATATAATATCATTTTAATTTTCTTACCTTAGATTGCAATGTGGCTTGACTTTTGATCCTTCTTATTTATTATGTACGGTATAGGAAATCATAGTATCTATTTCATGAAATTTTTTAGGATATTGTGTGCAAAGTTGTTCTGATATGCTCTATGGTTAAATAAAA